GTACACACACACACACACACACATACACATTCAATCTAACCATTTTCCCCATATTTGTTTACATTCAGCAAATTGGAACCTTCTGGCAGGTTTTTCACTGATCTTTGCTGATTTATCAATGTTTCATGGTGGACAGTAGAGATAGTATTGTCTTCTGCAAGTGTAAATCACTGTTAATCTATAAATATGTCTAATATGTCAGATTTCTTAGTTATGACTCTGAGAAAAAAGTATTTTTTGAAGTATTTTGAAGCACAAATTGAGCCTCTTTAAGATGTGCACTTTAGATACAGAAAATAAATTCAGCGCTGGAACTCCTCAGTCAATTTTTTAGCCTATATTGATGATGGCTCAATCATCTCAGTAATTGTTTACATAAAAAATGACCAACTATTCTCCAGTTTCACCTTAGAATTTGCTGCCCTTGTCTTTTTAATGATTGCAAGCAGAAAATATATTTGAGTTCTGGTCTGTTTGTTGGATGAAATAACTAATTATAAGGGCGCAGGTTGTTTATAACATTTTTCACAGATTGAAATTTCAGTGAATAGAGAATAATTACCAGATTCATCTATAATAAAAAAAAAACTCCCATTATGAGCCCCATGCGAAAATTAATGTTCTTAGGTCATTGTAAAAAAAAAGCTGTATTGTGTTTTTTTATTAGAGCTCAGCCTGCAACTATTTTGATAATAAAAAAATTCTTTGCTACAGCCTCCGTTATGGTTCTAAATGTTAATACTGATCGTTCTATTATTATAAACTGAACATCTTGGACTAAATAAAGACGTTTGAAGATAATCTTGACATTTTTCAACCAAACGATTGATCCACTAACAAATGAGTGGAGCAACCATCTTTCATCTCTTGAGGTGCTTTCCCTGCTGTTCATAAAGGGAATGGGGGGAGGGAGGATTCCAGTTTCATTGACAACAAACACTGCATATTAGCAGCATTGATATTCTAGTGACTCTTCACCTGATACAGCAGGTGGAAGAACAGATGAAGCGTCAGATTAAGTGTGAGAAAGCTTCAACTTGACCTCATGGCAGGTAAAATGTGACCTAATAACCGAGTAGCTCGGGTAGCAAACAAATTACAGCATTTGTTTCCCACCGCATATAGAAACCATGTATTTCATCGCTTAGGTAAATGTAATGGTGTACATTACTTTACATATTTCCCCCCCTGTTATGAAGTTGTTTTGTCTGAACGCATGCAGCTTCTCCTACTGAAATAACCATGCTCAGTGCACACATAAACACTGCAGCCTATACTTCAACGAGTCGCCGAAGCCTATACTTCAGCTGAAACCTACACGTCAACATCATCGTGCATAGATGGAGATGGGCTTCCGTCATCGAGGACTGAGAGACAAACTCTTTCTGCGATCTGAAAGTGGTTCTTAACCCTTCTAGTGCCACAGTAAAAACAAATTATCAGAAATATAAATAGTAAGGCCTCTAATGGTGAGCACAACACTAGAATCCTGTCCAGGACAACAGGTCATATTAAACAATGATTCATTTTGAGGATATGCCATTTTTCTTTGATATAAATTATTTTATTAATGATGTGGCAGGTTCTGGACTCATCATTGGGAGAAAGGAATAGTATGTAGCTATTGAAAGCTGTCCTGAGTGACAAACAAATGATAAATTAAATCTTAGAGACAGATCAAATGACAGCGGTCTCTATATTCAACACATCAGTGGAGGAAATTTTGTGATAAAAGTATTTAGAGGAACTTATCCTTGTACCTCAGATATAGTGTTGTGGTGGTTAAAAGCTGCTAAGCTCTGATTATGATATAAAGCCAGTTACAATGTGCTCTGTTTATCTGTTCCCTGACATCAAGGAATCTTAGCACCAGTTTCTGCAAACAGTTTTCTGTTTTATGACCCTCAAGTGCAAACTGAATTAGATGAAAGCTGCTGCTCTGCATGAATCTCACAGCGAAGTGACTGGTCTTCCTCTGAGGTTCTCAAAATGATATGGATGATGTTGAATCAGTTTCAATAAGGTGTCTGAGCTTTGTTTGGTAAAGATCTAGTTTGGTTTGGAGGCTGTAAAACTCTTTTTTCTTACTCACGCATTCTCTTTTTGAACCTGAATTAATTGCACCCTTAAGTTCAAACGTTTTTCTCCACCCTGCCTTTTATGAGCTATGAATATTTGACTGCCACGGCGACAGGATTTGATTGCATATAGAAAATAAAAACAGAATAATGTAACCTCACTTTATTAATTATTCAGTGAAATTTGATGTGTAAGGTCCTTGACTTAGACTTCTCACTTTCAATTAAAAGTTAAAGCCAATTAAACCATTCATGTCCAGTTGTGAAGGAAAATTGAAGGTTTTGGCAATATTTTTTTTGCTTTTTAACCCAAAATTTTAACTTTAGTATCAAGACAAAGAAAAGAAGCTTATTCTTGCATTTAAAAAGCTGGAAACATTTCATCATTGGACTTTTGGTGTAAAGGAAATCACCTGAAAGACAAATATTGGACAAATCTCTGCAACAAATAAACACTTTTGTTATAGTTTGGTGTCAGTGGAAAAGCTTTATTAAGCTCATGTCTCAATTACATCACCACGAACTATGACACTGGTTCCAACCAGGGGATTGAAGAAGCCCTCGAGTCTGAACTCAAGGAGCTGCAGTATTTTCTCTTGCAAAGGAAAAAATAGCTTCCTTTATCTTTGCGCTGATTAACAGCGAGGGTTTGCTGTGGACAGTCCACACAGCAAATGTGTGCCAATTCATTTCCTCAAGGTCTGCAGCGAGAAAACCTCCCTGCTCTGGTACAGCCCACACGTGGGGAGATTACATCTTTTATTTATCACTTCTTGGCTCTATTTTTCCAGCAAATTCCAGGCTGGAGTGCAATCAGCCAAGAAACCCTCCCTGTGTGTGTGTGTGTGTATGTGTGTGTGTGTGTGTGTACTACTGTTATTCCTCTTTGTAAGCATGCCCACCCCCCTCATTCTGTGGAATAACAACCCAGATTCAGTTTCTTCCCAACAGAAACATTTCCCAATATGTGGGAATATATTAAAGGCCTCTCACTTTGGCAGGACAGAGGTTTGTGTGTGTGTGTGTGTGTGTGTGTGTGTATTCCCTGTGGCCCTTCAGTGAGTACACAAAGCCCACATGAACCTCCTGCATTTAAAAGTGGTTGGAAAGAGGGGCGGGTCATGCAGAAACTCATGTGCTCAGATTGCATTACCATTCAAATTAACCATGCAGAGTAATGGGATTACAGTCCTCTGTGAGAAGGTGTTCCGGGCCCGCTGAACTCACAGGTGACAGACTGCAACACGCTGAAAGACTCCCGGCTGACCACGCACTGATAAAGGCCGCGAACTCAAGCCCGTCTTCATTAAAGTGAGCTATCTCTTCAATTCAACACCACATCTGCTTCCCTCGCTGCCAAGCACACTCTGTCGTCTTTTTCTTTTCAATTATAGATACACACACAAAAACCCTGAACCAACTGGCTGCAGACTGGTGTGAATCGTGGCCCATTTAAAAGAACCGTCGAGCTCAATACGCTTCCTCCTTCCAAATCTCCTCTACTTAACAAGGGAGTGAAAAGATGCTTTTGTTTGCCTTCCTTTTGGAGGCAACAGGAAGCTTGAAAGACACAAATGAACATGAAAATAGGAACAAAGTGCCAAATTCACAATAGGAATGCTGGGTATTTGATATGTGTGCCGAGTGATTAAAATCTCAAAGAGGGCTGTGCTCTGCTAAAGCACAGAAAAATAGGGGATGGAGAAAGGGGGGTGCAACTAAATGACATTGAATCAAATGTCGCTGAGTCACTGATTCATGTTGTTGCTGTAAAAGTTGAACTGTCAACTCAGCACACAAGTGTCTGTTCCTGTTCATCCACGCCTGCTATCAGAGGGGTTGGAACCACGTCAACTCTGATGGTCTGCTCTCGTTTTAGCCTCGGAGTTCATTCAGTCCTGTAACTGTTATTCTGGACTGAAAAAAAAACATTCCACTAATAACATACTGGAGCTGCACTTGGTCTAAATATATTACAACAATAATGTGAGACTGCATATTTGACTTCTCCCCATTTCAGCAGTTCACATTTATTAGCTTCTGGCTGCAGCTCAGACTCCACACAATGTGCCCATACAATTATCATTCAACAGCATCTCGATCGTGCCACACAGAACAACTCATTCAAAACGAATGTGTGTCAGTTGAGACCCAACCCAACGCTGGGCACTTCCCTTATTACTCAATAGCTTTATGTAATCATGTTCACACTGATTTTTCAGAGTTCATACGGTGTGTTATTGTGGATTCTGGATGCAATCGGGTGAGCAGACCAGGGAGGAATTGGGACATTAAATACAAAACCACATCCAAATGCAAATGTTAAGTCTTGAAAGCTCATTTAAATGAATGTAGGGGAGTGCAGACACATTCGTTTTAGGTGCTTTCTAATGCTATAACAGCTTCCTCAAAAAAAACCTTTGGGACTTTTGTGTCACACGCTGACTGTGTTTCACATTGTCGCCTGTGAAGCAGCAGCAGACAGAGATGTGTGTACGTCTCTTCTCTCTCGGACGGTTTCTCAGTGGATTGTGCTGGGTTTGGGTCAGTGGTGGGGATTCCTGTTTTGTTTGAAGCCACAAGCTTCATTTTCCACGCAATTAGTGGAGCTGGAGGCTTTGTAGCCTCCCTGCATTTCACATTCAAACTGCCCCCGAGCAAAACAGGATTTAAATGCCCCAGCCACACATTGCCATTCATGCAGCCAGCAGATTTAAAGCCCCATTGTAGCCTCTGTGTGCCTGTCGCCTGAACGCTTCTCCCTTTGTTGTCACAGCCTGTCACTTCATCCGCCTACGTTCCTCTCGTCCTCCACATAAATGAGATTTAACTCAGCCCGTGCTGTGTGTTTTTCTGGCTGGTTTAAAGCCGTGTACGGTTGTGTTTTCACTCGGCGTGCCCGGGTCCCATCGCATCACTCACCGACTTGCAGTACGTTGTCCACGCAGCCGCTCTCCAGCAGACCGATGCCCCGTCGGAACGGCAGCCGCGTGTCGTCTCCGCTCTCCCCGCTACTCCCGATCTCCTCCCCGCCCGTGCCGAACGACGAGTACATACAGATCTCTCGCTCGCTCCTCGGAAAGGACCAGTACACGATCCGCCTCTGGACGGGCTCCGGGATCCTCTCGAAGCGCTCCTCGACCCGCTGGAACGGCCACTTCTCCGCGACTCTCCGCGCCGCGATGTCCAGCAGAGTCTCCGGGCTGTGGGTTTTGCTCGAGTCGCCCTGAGCGGCGGAGGAGCCGCCGCACGGCGCCCACGCGGCCCGCTGGCCTTGCCTACATGTTGCGCCGTATCCCGGTCTACAGCAGAGCCGCTTGGCCGGGGGCTGCTGTGCGCGCTCCGCCATGATAGCTCCGCTTTAACGGCGACGGAGGAAGTCAACGCAGCATATGAACGTGGATGGGGAAGAGAAAGCGGCTGCCCACGGCTCGGTTGTCGGCCGTGTATGGCCAAATCATCCTTTTAAGGGAACATGGAGGCAGGGCTTCTCCGAGCTTGTCAAACCCCTTTGTTGACAAATGAAGGAGAGGCGGGGTCTGGCCGCTGAGCTCCGTGAGGGCGGAATTCCCGCACGGCCGCTAATCCTTTGTGAGCCCCGAATAAAAAGCTTTAAATGGCGGGAGGGGGTCGCTGTAAGAACCAGCGTTCCTTCTCCCAGGCGCTGGGTTTTTTTTTTTATTTGACCGGCGAGCGTTCACGGGTATTACAGCCGGAGAGGGGAGGCTTTGTGCGGCCGTGGAGAGGAGCTGGAGTCGGGCTGAAGTGAGCGCTCGGTGCCCGTAGGGGGGGTGATTGGCCTGTCAACACTGGAGCCTCGTGGTTTGGGGGGAGGGGGCAGTGAACGCGTCTCCGCCCCGTGTGACGTTCAGGTTCCGCAGGAATGTGGGGTGCTGTCTGATGAAAGCGCGGCTCATTATCGGGAACACGCACAGAGAGCCGGTGTGTGTGAGAGCCCGATGATGAGCAGGAGAGCTGCAGAGGCAAAGCGGAGAAATGTCCCCGAAGAGCGGCTTTAATAATGTGGTTAAACATGAGGAGATCACACAGTGAACACATGTACATGGCCGGAGAGGCAAGACACTGCTTTATTGGAAACTTGCCCCAATGAAGTCACATCTCAACTCTGAAACCAGTTTAATTTAACTCCTGATCCATCTTATTTTAGACTGAGCTCATTTATATTCTGTATTCTCTAATGGCCTTCTCCCATTGTATCAACTGATCAACACACAAAAACAATTCAAGCGTGTTCTATCCCACCATAGAAGTACTGCAGTGTTTTAAAGTATTTTATCTCATCTCAGGTTTTCATCTGTAGTACTTTTTATGTTTGTGTTCGTGGTCTAATGTAGCATCATTGTCACTATAAGGCTGCAACCATAGATTATTTCCACTGCCATACATTTGAAAATGATTTCCCCTTAATATTCACTTAATTCTTCCATGTACACAATGTGGCCTAAGATGAGTTTATCAGTTTTATGTTAGTTGATGCTTCTGCTCACTAGTGATGCAAACGTTGTACTTTTTACTCCCCTACATTAGGTTGACAGTGTTATTAGTTTCCCCAGAAACACAAAGAAGATTACAGCCTTAAATATTTGAACCAATCAAAAATACATTGTTAAAGATTAAAATAAGAAAAGAAATGGCCAAGAACGAGTCCAACACTTTGACAAACTCCTAAAAAATGTCTTCTCTACGCTTTGGTTTTTACCACAGAATGAAATAAATAACTAAATATATATACATGCTTCTATAACAAGTGGAGTTTGTAACCTTAGGCAGAGCTGTGCCCCCATGTCCTGTCTTAGTGCTAAGCTAAGCTATCTGTCTCTTGGCTGTACCCTAATATTTATCATACAGTGCTGTGAGTGGTATTGATATTGACAGTTTGATATCGGACAATAAAATGAGTTGTAACTGATTCTTTGACCCTAATTGCCTGGACATGAAAATGAGTCACCCCAGGACAACTTGACAGAGTTCACTGTGGACAATAGTCATATTGTTTTTCGCCCAGTTGCCCTCGGGGGCCCAACTGCTGGATTTCTCTTTTTCAGTTGTGTTTTCACCTGGAGTCATAAAAAAGTGTAAACCAATCCCCAAATAGATGACAATGATTGAAACAAAAGGTTCATTATGGAAATGTTTTTCTACTTGAACTGCCGTGACCATGTACAAATAACCTCCTCAGAAAGAGTACACACTATTGTTTGAGGTGTAACATTTTCAGAGAGACACAGAGTCGTCATTGTCACAGATATAAATCATTACTTCAAGTATAATCAACCTGTTTACTTAGCAATTAGCCCCACCTTTACCTGCTACAACATAAAATAATGCTTACTCATTACTGAATGCATGGTTACATTACAGAATTATGCCCTAATATTATTCTGATATTCACCATTCTGCATAACGAGTACTCTTACTTTAGGTATTACATTTTTTTTAAAAATACTTACAAGTATTTTCACTTGAGTAAAGTTTTATATGCAGTTCTTTCACTTTTACAGAGTATTTTTGCACTGTGTCTTTGCTATTTGTACTAACACTGATCAGCCACAACATGAAACGCAAGTCACCAGATTTAATACAAACTACAATACAACCAGTTCTTTGACACTATATTTCAAACAATACAGAGCCAAAGATTGTAATGTTGAAAATAAATAAATAAAAGAACAACAGTCCAAGCAGCCCCATCTGAAAATGATATCTCCTTTTGATCAGCACCAGGGGAACATTTCAGGCGTGATTTTTAACAGTTTTATTTGTGCATAAACACGCTGTTTGTCACTGTAATGAGTTCATCTGTCTCTTTTTCTTCCCATCATTTCCCAGTTACAGTGCCACCTGCTGCTCCTGCAGGACAGCGTTATCAGCAGCCTCATTTCAGCACACTCACTCCATGCTGTGTAAATGATTTAGGCCGCCGGTTAAAAATCTTTACTATTGTCTCATTTTACCCTGCAGACAGCGCAGCAGAAGCAAAGTAATGACTGAGCCTATTCACTCAGCATGGTGGTAACAGTAGGAGGGCTGCGAGAGGAAGACAACAACATAGACACACACCACACACTGGCTTGAATAAGATAGAGCCGTCTTCTACCAGCTGAGTTTGTGTTCATTTTTTCAGCAATTCACTTGCACTGTATTAGATTTAAAATTTCAAACGCCCATTATGATAATAAGGTTCTTATCTTCAGAGTTCATACATTTCATCAAGACGCCTCATTAATGTATCGTGGTGCTGTCTTTATACTGGCTGTATTGGTGCATTCTGATTGAACTCGGACGTCAGAATTAGCTAAAAATTGTGATTTCTTACTTGGAAAAGCTGCTTTCAGACATGAATTGAACTCTGCATAATCTCTGGACATTATCCGGAGGGGCTGTATGGGAGGTTATGGACTTTCTCTGGAGTTCAAGCTATGCTCTTGGTAGAGACTCCAGAGAATGCTAAAATGAGCCAATGTGAAAAAACAGCAGGAGAGCCTCCAAAGAATTCACAGCGAGCGAGTGGGCATGTTGATGACGTTTTTAACAGATGCAAAAAAAATAAAGGAAATGAAAATAATACAAATATCGAAGCATGACAAACATGTGATCTCCTCGAAGGCATTACAGTGACATTAGCGTTTAGCTTTAAGTACAGCTGTGGTTCTGCTATTCAAATTAGAGCTCATTTACATGCTTTGTTCACAACACTCACACGGTACACAGACTACAAATTGTCCAGCAGATATTCAGACCAAACCTTGAATTTTAACTCAAGCAGTTTGGATTCTGTTTTCTCATTTTTTATTTTAAATAAAGCCCATAAAAGATTTCTTACGACACAGCATCATATGTTACAGTCCAGGTATTCAGGCATAAAGAATTCTTTAAGACTCCCATTAAAATGATATGGGTGGACTCGCTCTGCTCTGCTAAGATGGCTAGCAAGGGTGATAATGAACCTCAACGCTCACTCCTGGGGATAATCACACACACACACACACACACAGACACACACAACACAAACCATAGTATCCTTTTCACGCTGGGCTCATTTGCATTCTCATCAGTATGCATGAAATTTCTCACTGAACTTTAATACCCTAACTGCTGCATAATACACTTTAATGAGCATAAAAGTGAGCATGACAATTAAAAATCGCATTAATCACTAAACGCTGAGGGGTGGGGATGTGGGGGTACGGTGATAGAGGGAGGGTGTGGGAGGATACTGAGGACTGGGGGGGGGGATAAAGATCACTCCAGAGAGGATGGTGGGGGGATGAGAAAAGAAATTGAAGTGAAATTTAAAGAAAGGATGGAGTGAATGATGAAAATTAAGAGAATAAAAATGAAGTCTGAGTGTTGAGGCTGGCAGACAGCAAGTGAATGATTTGTTTTAAATCTGAGAAGTGTGGTCAAACAAATGATTGCTCCTCCTGTCGGTGCCCCTTTTTTCAATTCTGCTTTATTATTCATCCCTTTATTAGCAGTTTTTGCACCTTCACATCCCCCCACCGTGTCCCTTCCCTTCTCTGACACAAATGATCATTGGGAGGTTATGAATATTCAGATGAAAGTAATTCACAGATGCTCCCGTGATCTCACTTGGATCCCTCACATCTCTGATCTTCTCCCCCAAAACAACAATCAATAAGTGGATCTGAATTTTGATTCTTCTCTTTGGTCGAGTTGCACGTGATGTCAGATTGTTGCTGTCAATCGAAGCAGTGCAGTTGGGCATGAAATCTTAACATCACAGTGATTCATGCAGAATTCTGGTGGTGCAAACACAACTAAGATTATGAAAATGGCCAAACTCACAGACGACTAGTGCTGGAAAATGTTAAAGTACATTTATGTCTCCTCATAAGTGATAGAAAACACAGCTTTATATACTTTATACTTCTACTTCACTGCATTTCAGAAGGAAACACTTATGTGACTATAATCAATTGTTTGTCAAATTAAGATTTAACATTTTAAAAAATACACATGATTAGTCCACAACAGATCGCAGAAGATCAACCTAGTGGCTTCCAATCTTTTTGGTTTGTGACCTTTGGTCAGGCAGACGTCAGACACACTCGTGCTGAATTTCTGCCTCACTGGTTGACATTTAATGTGCAGTTTTTAATAACATAATTAATTCCCCAACCGATCCATCTCCTGGCTCTTATTGGATGATCAGCTGGGTCTCTGGTCAGCTGTAGTTCTCACATAAAACAGAAGAATACAAACATAAAAATGACACGTACACACTGACAGGTCATTTTTGTCAATCTAGTAATGTCATATAAAATCATATATAAGCCAAAGGGGGGATTTTACATTTACTTTGAT